CCGCTCTTTCGGGTAACCCTCGCTGAGGCCTCCAAGCATTGGAATGGTGATGGTGGAGGTGTGGCATAATCCCCACGTGACGAAATTGACCTTGACCCGCCGTTCTTGGAGCTCTAAATAACTCTCCTTTGCCTCCTAAGACACTGTACTCTTCCCCTAAACACTTGCTTATGATCTTGATCTGCAAACATATCGCGTCTTTAAGACATCTAAACTGCTTCGAGACTGTCTGTAAGGCCAAAGATGTGTACGATTTAGCCGCTCCAAACCCTGCGGCTTGTTCGAATGATGTCACTATTCTTTGCATTTGCTCGCGGTATTGCCTGTATCTATGCTCAACCTGCTTTTAATCAAACTCAGTGCCTAAGTATAAAGATACACACACACATATATACGTATATGTATTCGTACGTGTATGCCAAATAAGAACATGCATTAAAACATATAGGTATATTGTATCATGCACGTAGGTATGCGTATATGTGGAGGTATATGCGTGTTACTGTATACCTCTTCGACCATGGACACGAGCTTGGCCTTCTTCATCTGCAATTCCTGCCTGTAAGCGGCAGTGAGTTCACGGCCGTATCCGCCGGAGAATACGTCACCAGAAAATTCTGTTTTCACCTTGAGCTTCCCTTTGGAGACAACGCAATCGCTTTTATTCGCGTTTCCGACGCTGACGATCTCGTCGAGCAATTCTTGAGCAGCCCTCAAGTACTTAGGATCGAAACTGCCGGCACCGCCTCTGAAAACGACGCCGTTTGTAACCGTTGAAACTGGAGAATTCCCTTGCTCAACGTGATCTATTGTCGTTTGCGGTTGCAGGGAAGACAGGCTCAGAGACAGTTTCTTGCAGCTTCCGGCATTAGCCGGCAAGGACAGAAGCTCGGGCCCATGGGACCCACATGGACCCGGGTTGATGATGTCACAGGTCGGCTCCGCGTTTGAGTCGACGGCGGGTGAGCTGAAGCAGAAGTTGTTGTTGATTGTGTGATGGAGGTGGGGAGTACACGTGGGCATGTCGACGGTGGTGGGGACGACGGAGAGGGACGGAGGCGCGTGAAGAAGCGCGTGGCCGAGTGGGTTCATCATGAGAAGGCTGTATTGGTTTTGCAACGTGAGATCCGAGGAAGATGAAGAAGCTTCTCGAGCTTCAGAGCCTCCATGGAAGAAAGAAGCCATGAAAATCTTCAAGAAACGTGTGTGTATGTATATGTATATCTATACGATTATGCAATTATAGATTGTGATTAAGAAAGCAAAAGCGATACAGAATTCATTTGCCTTCTCCCAAAAGCCTGCAATTCAAGAAAAAAATCGATTTAAAAAAAAAATAGGGGAAACGATTTTTGACGAAGAACATGGAGGAAATAATATGGTTCACGAACGAGTCGATTCCTGGAATGGACTAAGAAACGCCAAGAAAAAAACTGTGTTTTGAGGATAATATACATACGGAAGAAATCAAAAGGAGGATGAATCGCTTACCAAAATATATTTTATTTGATCAGAGAGTTAGATTCATCACATCGTCCTCCTCGTCATCATCATCTCTCTCTCCTCTCTCTCTCTCTCTCTCTCTCTCTCTCTGATGATATTTTGTCAGAACGAATATCGTCCTCTGCTTCAATCTGTCACTTAGAATCCAAGTCCGAAAGCGATTCTTATATACGGACACACACACACATATGTACATTAAACTGTTGGAATTTTCTAATAAAATATAATTTCACATTATAAGATGAGTGGACAGCAAAAAATAGTTACAATTCCAATATATATTTTCTTTCTGTAATTTAAAAAGATATTTTACAATTTTTTTCCATAACATTTCGCTATTTAAAAATATTTTAAATCCTCTATTATTTAAAAAACTTGCAAAAACTATATTTTTTATAATAAAACACGGCGTAGGGCGAACTATAAATATGTGATATTTTTAACTTTCTACTTCGAAAATATAATATTTTTAATTTTCCGATTATACTTTGAGAATATTTGAAAAATCACTCAAATAATTAAAATATAACTAACCAGGTATATTTGTTTTAGTTGACCTGAAAACTTCAAATAAAATCTAATTCTATATAATTTTTAAACTGATTTAGTTTTAATCACTGAACAAAACGATAATGTCGAGAAATGTCTGATGAAAATCAAGAAATCCAAACCAAATTCAATTCGGGTTTAGAGTAACGCGAAGCAAATGTGAGTAAAATTGAATATTGTTTGAGTTAAATGGGAGAGTACATGCATTAGATTCAAAGTGTATATATATATACATATACATATATATACGCGCAATATACAAGATCAAGGTTGACAAAAATTAGATACTATAAAATAATAAAATCTTATATTATTTTCTCATTGAAATTTTGTGTTACATGGTCTTCGACTACTTTATACGGCTGAAATCATGGGGCACGCATCTAGGTCGCCAATGAAATAAACTCTGACGGGGAAGATAAACTAAGACTAAAATTTCATTGTTAGTATAGGGGGGAAATTATATTGTTTTTCATATATAAAATCAAACCAAATGAAATTTAAATTAATTAGATATAATTTAATACGAAAAAAATACTTAATAATAGAAAAAAAAACAAATTGAAAGGATAACAGAAATTTTTAAAAAAAAAAATCCAAAACAAAGAATCTGAACCCGAAGTCCATAAGGAAAATTATTTTTACACCAATGTTTATATATACGTCACATTTAATTAGCAGAATCCTACTTATGTTCTTATATTGTATTTCCGTATATGTTGAAGGGAAACTATATATAGTAGTAAGATAAGAGCCTATCCACCTTCATTTGATGCAGGCACGATTGATACAAGGCAGCTCGTATATTCTTTTTCTATACGTATATAAATCATTATATAATAACAGTGTTATCATATATTATGTATATATATATATATATATGTATATACAAATATATATATAAAGGAACAAAAAATATAGACGTGGGTCAGCAGAACATGGAGATAGCTGAAGAACGAGGAAACGTCTACTTCCACTCCACACACAATTATCAAAAAGTCTTTATTTTAATAATGGACAGCCACAAGGGTTACGACAAGTCACCAATTTCTTTTGCTTTGTTTTATTTATTATATATATTCTTTTGTCCGGTCCTCCTTTTATTTCTAATTGTTCCTTGTTTTGCACTTTGTTCATTTTTTTTCATCCCTTTCTATTTTTTTGCAATTTTATGAAGATATTAATTTGTATATTCATTTTTTTTTGTTAAAATATACTCATTTTCTTGTGGTTGACTCTTCTTCTTGTGGGATTAGAATTCTCCCTATGTTTGGAGTTAGGTATATCAATCCATCACATGATATATAGAACTGAAATTATTGAGAATCGCTAAGAATTTACATAATTTTAGAATTACATAAATTTTCTATAATTCTTAGTAAAAATCATCTAATCTCATAAACGCTGTTAAGTATTTCTAATTAACCACGATTATTTCCGTGTTCTTCAACATCTTCTACGCCTATCAATCGTGAATTTACATCATATATATATATATATATATATATATATATATATATATATATATATATATATATAATATATA